TAATTTGTATTTTCTTAATTGTTTTTGTAATTCCCATATGTGCTGACATAGGTGGACAATGATGTGCTGAAATGACATCTTGCACAATTGATTTAGGTATATTAGGTAGATTATCTATATTCTGTTTTGGCATATATTGTTTTAGGTAAAGTATATCATTTATAATTACAAACCTTCTAGACATCTTAGTTATTTTGTTGGATATCTTTTGCCCATTTAATGTTTTTATTATTTGTTGGCAAAATAAATCTTCTTTTTTACTTACAATTATATCTGTTTTTTAATGAGGAACTTGTGTCTATTATGTNTACTTACAATTATATCTGTTTTTTAATGAGGAACTTGTGTCTATTATGTTTATTTTGTCTTCACGGTGAAAATGGCTACCGAATGCTATTTTTGTATGAAAATTCTCGATTTTATTTTTTACATTTTTAACTTTATAATGCTATAATTTATTGGAAAGTGTATGGATCAACACAATTTTTTTATGAAATCATTCCTTCCAAGAGGAATTCTACAAATTATTTTTGTCATCTTTGTTATTTTAGCTTTAATAATTAAATGCATTGTATTAATCCTGGTCTTGTTGGAAAAAACTATGTCAATGTTATATATAAATGTCAAAATTATTTATATTCTATTCATCTGTAATAATCTCTGTATTTTATGCTTATTTATCAAATAAACAGTTATACTTTAAGAATTAGACAATGATGATTTTCGTGGGTAAAAAATATTATAAAAAGGCAAAGCAAACCCTTATTCCACACTGTTAATTTCATTCTCTGGATACATAACGATACGTGGATATTGCAATCATCATTGTCGAAGTTCTTACGTGTTTAATATGTGAACCAAAAACTTATATGTGTTACTTTATTTATCATTTTATTAATATTATCACTGAAGTTAATATAACAACTGAAGAATAATTATTAGGTAATAATTTTAAATCTATAAGAATATTTATATTGTCATTTAATAACCCTTGAATCACACCCAGAATCAAAAGTAACTCTCATTCTAATCCTCACTTTAATTCACTCAACAATATAAACTCTTTCAATCTTTTTCTTTTCTTTTATTAATTTTTAAGTTATGACACAACTCTTCTGGGTGTCTCAGGGCATGTCAAACCATTTTCCAGCGTATTACTCTAATCTCATCTATAATTGTGCGATTTTCTCCCACAGCTCTAAGCACTTCTTCATTTGTTTTCCGCTCTATCCAACCTATCAATACGCCTCCAACACCACATCTAGAAGTTTTCTAATTTTTCCTTTTCGGTATCATTTATTATCCAAGTTTCGCATTCATATGTTGCAACATTCCATACATATGTTTTTATAAGTCTCTTCTTGATATTTAGATGTAACAATATTGAAGTGAGCAACTTATGTTTTTTTACTAAAAGTAGTTTTTGCTAATGTTATGCGTTGTTTTATCTCGCGGACGCTCTTACCAACAGATGTAATTTTGATCTCTAGGTATCTTTCTTAGGTCGTTTAACACAAAATTTTTGTGACTTTTTGGGTTATATATTCTAGTTATAAATCAATAAATTGATTTATAACTAGAATTTATTAATTTTTAATAGAATTTTAATTTTAAATCATATTATTCATTAGTAATAAATTTTTATTATATATTTTTATATTATTAATTAATGAAATAAAGTCGAGTCTCACATAATTTTTAACATTTGTTAAGTAAATTTAACAATTTAAAAGATTCTAATGTTATTAAAATACATATATAGGGCTTTATTGAATCATAACACCAAGGAAATTTTAAAAATGTAAAATAGTATTTATTTTACTTATAAAAAATAATATATTAGTTTACAAATTCACTAAAACATAAATCATAGTCAGTTTTAAAAAAATCTTCACAAATTTTTGTTAAATCTGAATTTATTCTAGAAAATATTGAACCACGATAAGTTCGAATATTTTGATATGATTCTAATAATTGAAATTTACTTAACAATGGTTTGTCAAGAATACAATAATTTGTAAGAAAAAGATTGACTCTAATATCTGCTAATAACCGGGTCACACCATTTTGACCTTTACGGAACTCTTCCAAAAATTCTTTTGCATTTGTTGCATTAGTTTCAGCAGTTAAAGAAATATTTAGGTTCTTTAAAATATTTTTATATTCTGATGCAATTTTCACTACATTTTTAAAACATGATTGCGATTTTACCATATAATCCCCAATGGACGCCTTTTTTAACAAGGCCAAAATTGCTAATAAACGATTGATCATAGTTGTAACTGATGGTAATGTACTTTTCAAGGATTTTACATAAGTAATTAAGTTATCATAACGTTTTTTACTATGTTCTGTCAGGCATAAATGTTGCATTGCAGTTAAAAAGATAGTAACGTGTCTTAATAATTCACTATACCTACACTTAAATATGTGTGCAACTTCTTGCTTTCTTTGAAAGAAATTGGTTGGATTGTCTTTATCATGCAGTATTTTATTTAAATCTTTAATTTGATAGTTCACACAAATTTTCGTATTAATGAACGATTGCCCATTATCCACGTTAAATAGTGTATTTATAACATTGACTGCGAGATATTCAGATGAGTCATCATATAGTGGTGATACGAGTCTATGGACACAAAAAATTCAAAATAAAGAGTTAATGATTTATTGGAATAAAATCTATGGATATTTCCAAAAGGTAATTTGTCAATTGTACCAATATTTCTATATATATATATATAAAGTAGCAATAATAGCGTGTCCTGTAGTTCTAAAATTCGACCATGTTGTAGTCATCATTGAGTTATCAGTGAAGTTAGCGCCATGTATAATATAGCAAAATTGGTAAATAATCGTTACCAAACGAACTTTCAATAATATAAAAAATAGCGGTTAAAATTGAAGATTATAATTTATAAAGTTGATTGTGTAAAAGTATTAACACAAATTATTTATTTTTAAATACCTACTAG